TATATATATATATATGTTGTTTATAATTGTCTAATAAAAAGGAGGCTACACTTTGAAAGTAAGAACAAGTGGATTTGAGAGTTCATTAAAAATAAGTACCAAGGACCCAAACTTGTATGGGTACTAAATATCAAAAATTAAATTATTTTTTATACGTACCAAAGAAGATGAAAAGCAAATGGTTCTTGGATAGTGGAAGTTCAAACCACATGATCGGAGATAGAATGTTACTATCAAGCTTCAAAAAGAATGATGTAGATCATGTCACATTCGGGGATAATGTAAAAAGGAAAAATCATTGGAATTAGAAATATTGGTAATAAGTCTTCTCCTTCAATTGAAAACGTTTTATTGGTAGATAACCTCAAACATTATTTGCTTAGTCTTAGTCAATTATGTGATAAACGATATCACATTAAATTCGATTCTTCTAAATGTCTTATTAAGTATCCTAAATCAAAAGAGAGGATGTTTATAATATGCCAAAGTAAAGACTTTTATATTATCATAAATATTGAATTTGTAAGTGATGAAAAATGTTTATTAAGTTTAAAGGAAGATACTTAGTAGTGGCATAGGAGATTAGGTCATGTTAGTATGAATCTTCTCTCAAAAATTGCTTTGTCAAAAGTTTGCCATATTTAAAGTTTGATAAAGATCAAATTTGTGATGATTATCAATTTGGAAAACAAATGAAAAGTTCTTTTAAACCTAAACTATACTCTTCAACTACAAAATCGGTACAACTACTCCACATAGAACTTTTTTGGACCCTCTAGAACTACTAGTTTGGGTGGTAAACATTATACATTCGTCATTGTCGACGATTTATCCAAATTTACTTGGATCCTATTCTTAAATTTAAAAGATGAAGCTTTGAATGTATTTAAACATTTTTGTAAAAAGGTTCAAAATGAAAAATGGTGCTCTATTACAACTATTAGAAGTGAACATGGTGGAGAATTTGATAATATGGCTTTTGATAATTTCTGTAATGAAAATGGATATAAACATAATTTCTCAACTCCTAGAACTCCTCAACAAAATGGTATAGTAGAAAGGAAAAATTACACATTATAAGAAATTGCTAGGACCATATTTAATGAAAATAGTATGCCAAAAAACTTTCAAGTCGAAGCTGTAAACATTGCTTGCTATATTGTTAATAGAGTTTTGGTTAGTCGAAAGAAAACTAAGACTTCCTATGAGCTTTGGAAAAATAAAATTCCAAATATCAGTTATTTCAAAATATTTTGTTGCAAATGCTTTATTTTGAACATAAAAGAAGACTCATAAAAATTTGATTCAAAATTCGATATTGGAATCTTTGTAAAATATTTATCGACTAGCGAAGTTTATAGAGTCTTTAACAAAAGAACTCTAGTTATTGAAGAATCCATACATGTCACTTTTGATGAAACTAATCATCTTGATCGTGAGAAAGATATTGCTAATGATGTAGGATTGAACATTCCCTCTGAACAAAATGCATATTCAAAATCAAAACAAGGAGGATCCAAAAGATGAACACAAGGCAGAAGCAAACGTTCAACAAAATGAAGTAGAGCCTACCGAAGTATCAAATGACCCTACTCTACCACAAGAATGGAGATTTATTCCTTCTCACTCAAAAGAACTATTTATTGGTGATCCATCCAAAGGTATTACCACTAGAGCTTCTACTAAAATCATCTTAATAGTTGTGCTTTCATTTCACAAGTTGAACAAGAAAAATTCAAGGAAGCCGAGTTTAATGAATTTTGGATTCTAACTATGCAAGAAGAACTAAATCAATTTGGAAGAAATCATTTTGGAATTTAATCACTAGACCAATTTATCAAACCATCAATGAAAACTAGATAATTGTGCATAACAATGCTAGATTAGTAGTCGAGGTTACAATAAAAAGAAGGTATCGATTTTGAAGAAATCATTGCATCGGTTTCAAGGTTAGAGTCTATTCGCATGCTTATTGCATTTAATTATTATAAAGGATTAGCGCTTTATCAAATTGATGTTCAAAATGTATTTCTAAATGGATATATTCAAAAAGAAATTTTGCATAGCAATTCCCCGATTTAAAAATCACAAGCATCTGGATTATGTTTTTAAACTTAGAAAGGTTCTTTACGATTTAAAACAAGCTTCTAGAGCTTGGTATAAAAGATTAAGAAAATTTCTACTTTTAAATGTCTTTTAAATAGGTAAAGCGAATACTACTCTTTTTGTCAAAACTCAAAAGAATTATATGATTGTCGTTCAAATTTATATTGACGATATTATATTCAATGCAACTAATATTTATTTTTGTGGAGAATTTTCATAATGCATGAACATGAAATTTGAAGTGAGGATGATGGGAGAACTTAAATTCTTCCTTGGACTTCAAATTAAGCAAACTAATGATGGAATATTAATTAGTCAAAATAGATATATATTGGTCATACTCAAGAGGTTTGAAATGGATGACTTGAAGCCAATGAATATTCCGATGAGCATACATGATCAATGTACTTTCTTTGATGTAACTAAATATCGAGGTATGATTGGATCCCTTCTTTACTTAACCGCAAATAGACTCAATATCAAGTTTAGTGTGGTTTATGTGCTAAATTTCAATGTAATCCTAAAAAATCACACCTCAGTGCGGTAAAAAGAACTTTTAGATATCTTAATGCATTTGAACCTTAGGCCTTCGATATCTAAATGGCACACACATTGATTTACTCAGTTATTCGAATGCCGATTGGACCAATTGCACAGTTGATTGCAAGAGTACTTGCTGAACATGTGATTTTCTAGACTTTGCACTTGTGTCATGGTTTAGTAAGAAATAAAAATCGATTGCATTGTCTATAGCCGAAGCAGAATATATTTGGAACACTAGTTGTTGTACACAAGTATTATGGATAAAACAAACTCTTAGGCCCTGTTTGATTCTCATTTTTATCAAAATACATTTTTCTTTTTCTTCTTTTTAACCATACATTCTTCATTAAAATAATATTACACATAAATAAATAAAAACTTTTCCTTATTTTTTATCCACACATTTTTCATCAATCTATTATTCTAAAATTTATTTTTCTGTAAAAATGGGTACCAAACACAATCTTAGTGATTATCACTTATCATTTGATCATATATCTATCTTGTGTTAAAACACCAGTGCCATAAACTTGTCGAAAAATCCTCTTTTTCACTGCCGAACAAAGCATATTGAAATTAGACATCACTTTTTAAGATATCATGTACAAAAGAGAGAGATTATATTACAATTTATAAATACAAAAAATCAATTGGAGGACATTTTTACTAAACCTCTTGTTCGATTCTCACATATTCGAAGAGTTTTGAGCATCATTAATGAATTTGAAGTACATGCTTAAATTAAATTCATACTATTTGTTCTTACATTTTTTTTATGGTATTTACTTTAATATGTTAAAAAAAAAAGGATTCGAACAAGTCGAGCGGACTATTCGAAACCTTGTACGGTTTGACAGAGAAAAATGGGCCAAATTAACTATGCCAATCCGGACGTCCGGATCATGAACCGGATTTTCGGTACATCGTAAAATCAGATTTTATATACACGATTCAGCTCTCTTTTCTTCTCCATCTCTCACTTTTCTCTCCCTAAATCTTCCATAGATCCTTCATATTTCCATCTCAAATCATCAATTACTCTGCTAATTCAAAAACCCATCACTTTTACATTTCAAATTTCTCTAAAATTCAAACTTTCATCCACTAACATTTCAAATTTCTCAAAACCGAACCTTAGTTCCCTTTTCTCTTCATTTCTCCTCTCCTTTAACGATTTTCACATAGAAGAATACTTTAAATCATGGGTTGGGTGTCGATTACCACGTTATAGGAAAATGCATATCCACGTCTCATGAACGAATTTTACAAAAACATGGTTACCACTACTGGGTCAGATGAAATTTTCTTTCTACTTAAAAACACCTACATTACCATCGTCAAAGCTCTCATCGATGACATTCTCGTGCTTGAAGTGTGTGAAAATCAAATATTTCTTCATAGAGCTCATCCCGCCTTGGAAGGATATAATCCTATCGAGGCATGTCAAAGAGTCATCGAGAAAAGCATTGAAAACATTTCCAAACTTAGTGCAAATCAACTCACTCTTCCATGTGAAGTTTTGCTAAACATTATTCCACATGTCATTCTTCCTCGAAAAGGTCATCGAGATGAAGTAAACAATTTTGATCTTTTCATTCTCGATTCTTTTCTCGTCGGGTAGAAATTAAATTTTTCAACCATTGCACTCAGTCTCATGAATCTTGTCCATTCCACTCACTACGCCAAAGCTTTACTTTATGGCATGCTTCCTATAAACTTTTTTAAGCATTTTGAAATCCCTTTACATGATGAGACCTTCGTTAAACTCCATCCTATCAATACCATCAATATCCAAACTTTTAAATAAATGAAAATAAAAAAAGAGTAGGGTCAATGGGTGGATCACACCAAAGAATTCGATCCTACCTTGGCTCCTTCCATTCTACCTTTCGATGGAGATGAGGACGACGATGACAATGATGTACTACGAGTTTCAAGCCCTCCTCATGAAATTTCGAGTTCTGGTATTCCTCCTCCCACCCGTGGTTTCATATTTACTGCGGATTAGTATAATTTCCTTAATGGACACATTTATTCCCTTACCTCCTCCATTGACGATCTTGGCGGGATGCTTCACCAATTGCAAGTTCAACAAGCTGCTACACTAGACCAACAATATGCAATTGAAGCTTAACAAGCGGTGATATAAGCTTAGCAGACTGTCTTTTACACTCACTTCCCTCCACCCCCTCCTCCAGAGCCATAGCTGTGGTTTATGATCTACTTTTATGTATTTTGTTATGGATGCAATTTGCTCCTTAAAATTTTTATCCATTATCAATTTGTTGTTATGAATTTATGCTAATCAATTTGCTTGTCATAATCAAAAAGGAAGATTTGTTGACCTTTGATTGAGTTTTGATCATAGCAAACAACTTGAATTTATTTTTAACAATTGAATTCAAGTCTCATAACTATTGTTACAAGGTTGGTCAATTGAGGACAAAAAGATCATTACCAAAAGACTTTCATCGGACGATCAATAAAAATCGAAATGAAAGCCAAGCATTCACAACAACTCACTTGAGACAAAGAACTTCAATAGTCAAACGTCAAATATATTATATTAAGATGTTCTGCATTCATGTATAAATGTGCAACGCTTTAATCTTTAGAATTGAATCATTAAAAACTCAATTAAAAAAAATTATGCACAAAAAAGTTATTTCATAAAAACACTTGCATAAAAATTATTTTTTCAAAAGGTAAGTATCTCAACTCAATATTAAAAGTTTTAAACTCATTACAATATCACTTATCTTGAAAAATAAAGTGAAAAACATCATCGAACGATAACTTTATTTATTGTTCTGAATTTTGACACACAACAACTAGCTTGGTTGTTAGTTCAAAATGCGGACGTTCAAATTGGTTGTCTGGTTAGTCGGAATTTTTGGCGTCTTCAACTCTATAAGTATTATTTCACTTTATATTCATTGCAACACTTTTAAGAGCATTTAAGTAAGATATTCTTGAGCTAAATTATATTGATCTTATATCTTATTTATCTTTATCAAATTATTTATTTTGAAAAACTATTGATTGAATCAACTTTTGAAAAACATCTTTCTCATCAAAGTTCTTTCCTCATCTAACAGATGAATTTCATTCATTGCTATTCATTTAATTGTTAGCCTATTTATCTCTTTGTACTTAATTTGAGTATATCATTTATTAAGAAAGAAGTTTCAAAATGTGAAATCATTTTCCTTTAAATATGTGAGCCATATTGATGTCCCTGAAAGCTCAATATTGTATAAGAATCAATGCTCTTTGTTTGTAAATCACTGGAGGCATTGTAAGAGTTTGGATTACACCATAGGTCAATCAAATTTAGTAAAAATACCTTACTCGTTACAAAGAATTTGGTAACGAAAGACGTAGATCATTGTTTGGGATCGAACCTCCACAATTATATTGTTTACACTCTCTTCCCATTTACTTAGCGCTTTCATACATTTGCATTTTTTGTTTGATTGACTTGTTCATTCTCAACTTAAATTTGAATCAATTTTTCGAAAAAGTTTTTAAAAATCAATTCACCCCATATTGATTAGTTATTCTTAAGCTATCGAGGTGCATGGGGTAAGGGCCCAAAAATGAGGCTTAAGGATGGGCTAATCAGGTATTTGGTAGGCTAAGTTTAAGATAAGAGAATGACCTTTCAAGTAGATAGTCATTCGATGGTTCCCACACTACGAAGCGGTTGTTCTTTTTTCTTTTTTTCTTTTTTTGACTTGGAATATATGTTGCAATAATGATCACAAAAAATAAAAAATAAAAAATAAACAAAAGGCAATCACAGGGGCAGTTTTGTATATTTTTCTCGCTAGTATTTTCCAAGAAATACGATATATTTCTCGTACAGAATTCTAAGATGAAAGGTTTGGAACTTTGGAGTGTTGAATAGGTACTGGACGTAAAAAACGAAACATGTCTTGGAGAGCATTGGGTTAACAAGGAAAGGCTCTCCAAAGCTCAAAATTCGAAAGTGTTATAAAGTTAAAAAGTTTCTTTAAATGAAGTTTAAGTAACTTAGAACTCGGCTACTACTGTAATCAGACAAGTCACAACTTATTCAGTTTTTTGAGAGCATGAAAAAGATTCACAAAATTCTTATGTTACTACATTATTCAACCCTTGTTTGGATCCATTTTATCGAGGTTTTGGAAAAAATTGTATTTTAGAATAGTATTTTTTTGGATAATATGTTATTAAAAAAGAAGGAAAAATTTTGAACGTACGAGTACTATTATTTTATTAAAAAATGTGTGGTTGAAAAGAAGAAATAAAAAATATATTAATATTAAAATGGAGCCGAAACAGCAACTCAATAATGTCTCTGTTTTTACTCTGGAAGATGTGTTTCTACAGAACACATTACCACTTGAAGGCAGCAAGAAAGTCGGAAGCTTTAGCATTGTGTCTCTATATTCTTGAGCAGATATGGATGGGTTCTTAAATGTAGCAAAACATAACCATAGAATTACATGGCAAGTATATGATCAAGGCTTCGTTACGTGTCTCAAGAAATTTGCAAGGGACGATCGTACAGGTCCAAAACTGTTGTGCAACGATGAATATAATGTACTAGTCAACGGAACAACTGCTCAAGGATTATCCTCACCCAATTCTCCCCATCCACTACTGCCACGAATGTAATTATCGACGATACAGAACTCTTTATTCTGAGCAATTCTCCGTGCATAGTTCTCGGCTGAAATTGCACCCTTCTTTAGTTTTCTATAGTATATTATCTCCCAAGGCCATGTGCGAGCACACCCTAGATACGTTTCAGCAGGTAGATCCTTTTTATCTTCCTCAGGATGCTCCAGTCGATAATGTTTTAGAAATGTGTACATTTCCTCAGAGGACAGTCTTGTTGACTGGGCAGCATTTGATCTCACGGAGATTTCAGGCTCTTTTGCCGATGTATGTTCCACCACACAGTACTCATTTGGAGTTTCCCGCATCTCTCTCACTTTGCAACATCAAATTATCCCAATTGTGATTACTGTTGTCTGACTGCGTTTTATAGGACTCTAGCAGTTGGCATGAATCACTGGTGAAGGCAATATTGTGCGCGTCTTCCCTTATGGCAAGATCCTTTTTCATTCCTTCCTCTCTCAATGCTGCGGCTGCAGATTCATTTTCCGTAACTGTAATATTTTCAGATTTGGTGCCACTGACACCTTTTACCAGTTTTTCGTCTCCCCTGTAATCTGTTTGCATTTTATTTGGTGACGAAGAAAAACATCTATCGAGTGCTACCGGTAAAGCCAGAGATGTGGGAGAGTTTGAGCTTGATGTCAACCTCGACATGAAGGGTTTAGATCCAGAATGGTATGACGTTGAAGACCACGAATGAGCGGACGGAGAATTTTTTCTGGATGATGCTGATTTGAACTTGGAATGGGAAACAGACTCAGAGAATGAGCTTATTGATCTTGTAGGTGACTGCAATCTGGATGCAGTACAATCAGAGTGGATTGAAGACGACAACAGAACCCTTGCTTTCTTTGAACGGTGTCTCTCTGGACTTTCACAATCTGTCTTATTTCGATTGTTCTCCCCGTACTTTTGTTTCCTATGTCTGGAAGTAAGCTGTGCTGAGGGAGAATCTCCACGTCTAAGCAATCTCCGATTATTTCTTGAAGTCGATGGCTCCCTATCGTTTTTCTGATGCCTCATTGGAGCAGCATCACTACTTTGACTCGGCAGTTGAGACCTTGTTCTGGGTCTCTCCAGCTGTGAGGGGCACTTCCGCATTTCATGACCCACTTTACCACATGCATAGCACGTTTTTCGAGATTTTGAATTGCTGAGATGATCCAAAATTTTATGATGATCATTTTGTCCAAAGCCTGTTTTCTCTGGAGACTTCGTTCTAGTGGGTGAACCACCAAAATAGGATGCATCTTGAAGTTCATTCTGCTCCTTTTTGTCATCACTGTAATAAGGTTCATAACGGTCAAACTCCAATCCATTTTCTAAACCATTTTCGTTTGATGGATCCAAAACCTGCTCTCCCCACCTATCATCCTCCATATGGTTCTTCCCGCTAGCTTCATGAGAATCATCAAAAACAGCACGATCTTTTTCCCCAGCACAACAATTCAAATTGTTGGAAGGGTAGCTTCTTGCTTATATTGTTTACACTCTCTTCCCATTTACTTAGCGCTTTCATACATTTGCATTTTTTGTTTGATTGACTTGTTCATTCTCAACTTAAATTTGAATCAATTTTTCGAAAAAGTTTTTAAAAATCAATTCACCCCATATTGATTAGTTATTCTTAAGCTATCGAGGTGCATGGGGTAAGGGCCCAAAAATGAGGCTCAAGGATGAGCTAATCAGGTATTTGGTAGGCTAAGTTTAAGATAAGAGAATGACCTTTCAAGTAGATAGTCATTCGATGGTCCCCCACACTACGAAGCGGTTGTTTTTTTTTCTTTTTTCTTTTTTTGACTTGGAATATATGTTGCAATAATGATCACAAAAAATAAAAAATAAACAAAAGGCAATCACAGGGGCAGTTTTGTATATTTTTCTCCAAGATGCAAAGACATCTGTAGCAAAAAACAAGAAAAAATTTAAAACCTGAAAATTACATCAAGTACTTAGAAACATAGGTGCATGCATGTATACGTGGTATTGAGGTGTTTTTGCATGAGGCAAAGGGTGAACCTCGGCTGCTTTGAAGTATAAAGCTCAACATAAACCAATAGAATTTCAAATAACTACAAAAATAGAAAATTACACATAATAAAAAATTAAAAATTTCAAAATATAATTATTAATACCGTTTAGAAAAGCTAAAAGACTAACATACTATTAGAAACATAAAATGGATTAATAAAGCAGCCAATAACAAATTAGTAGAGTAGTAATCACATTATAAGACCATTAATCTACAACTAGAGCTAAAAGTCCAAAAAAATAGATGCATCAGTTATTTGAGAACTTCATTTGCTTTGACTTAAAAGGAAAGAAATTCCAGAGGAAAGAAAACATCACAATAGAGACATCAATAATAAGAAAAAGTAGAATAAAGTGGGGTGACATTACATGTTGGAGGTCTCTAGCAATCAAAGAGTTGCAAGTTCTCTTCTTTAGTATTCTGTTGTAGGAGTACGTAAAAAACGAAACATGTCTTGGAGAGCATTGGGTTAACAAGGAAAGGCTCTCCAAAGCTCAAAATTCGAAAGTGTTATAAAGATAAAAAGTTTCTTTAAATGAAGTTTAAGTAACTTAGAACTCGGCTACTACTGTAATCAGACAAGTCACAACTTATTCAGTCTTTTGAGAGCATGAAAAAGATTCACAAAATTCTTATGTTACTACATTATTCAACCCTTGTTTGGGATCCATTTTATCGAGGTTTTGGAAAAAATATATTTTAGAATAATAATTTTTTGGATAATATGTGATTAAAGAAGAAGGAAAAGTTTTGAATGTACGTGTACTATTATTTTATTAAAAAATGTGTGGTTGAAAAGAAGAAATAAAAAATATATTAATATTAAAATGGAGACCAAACAGCAACTCAATAATGCCTCTGTTTCTACTCTGGAAGATGTGTTTCTACAGAACACATCACCACTTGAAGGCGGTAAGAAAGTCGGAAGCTTTAGCATTGTGTGTCTATATTCTTGAGCAGATATGGATGGGTTCTTAAATGTAGCAAAACATAACCATAGAATTACATGGCAAGTATATGATCAAGGCTTCGTTACGTGTCTCAAGAAATTTGCAAGGGACGATCATTCAGGTCCAAAACTGTTGTGCAACGATGAATATAATGTACTAGTCAACGGAACAACTGCTCAAGGATTATCTTCACCCAATTCTCCCCATCCACTACTGCCACGAATGTAATTATCGACGATACAGAACTCTTTATTCTGAGCAATTCTCCGTGCATAGTTCTCGGCTGAAATTGCACCCTTCTTCAGTTTTCTATAGTATATTATCTCCCAAGGCCATGTACGAGCACACCCTAGATACGTTTCAGCAGGTAGATCCTTTTTATCTTCCTCAGGATGCTCCAGTCGATAATGTTTTAGAACCGTGTACATTTCCTCAGAGGACAGTCTTGTTGACTGGGCAGCATTTGATCTCACGGAGATTTCAGGCTCTTTTGCCGATGTATGTTCCACCACACAGTACTCATTTGGAGTTTCCCTCATCTCTTTCTCACTTTGCAACATCAAATTATCCCAATTGTGATTACTGTTGTCTGACTGCGTGTTATAGGACTCTAGCAGTTGGCATGAATCACTGGTGAAGGCAATATTGTGTGCGTCTTCCCTTATGGCAAGATCCTTTTTCATTCCTTCCTCTCTCAATGCTGCGGCTGCAGATTCATTTTCCGTAACTGTAATATTTTCAGATTTGGTGCCACTGACACCTTTTACCAGTTTTTCGTCTCCCCTGTAATCTGTTTGCATTTTATTTGGTGACGAAGAAAAACATCTATCGAGTGCTACCGGTAAAGCCAAAGATGTAGGAGAGTTTGAGCTTGATGTCAACCTCGACATGAAGGGTTTAGATCCAGAATGGTATGATGTTGAAGACCACGAATGAGCGGACGGGGAATTTTTTCTGGATGATGCTGATTTGAACTTGGAATGGGAAACAGACCCAGAGAATGAGCTTATTGATCTTGAAGGTGACTGCAATCTGGATGCAGTACAATCAGAGTGGGTTGAAGACGACAACAGAACCCTTGCTTTCTTTGAACGGTGTCTATCTGGACTTTCACAATCTGTCTTATTTCGATTGTTCTCCCTGTACTTTTGTTTCCTATGTCTGGAAGTAAGCTGTGCTGAGGGAGAACCTCCACGTCTAAGCAATCTCCGATTATTTCTTGAAGTCGATGGCTCCCTATCGTTTTTCTGATGCCTCATTGGAGCAGCATCACTACTTTGACTCGGCAGTTGAGACCTTGTTCTGGGTCTCTCCAGCTGTGAGGGGCACTTCCGCATTTCATGACCCACTTTACCACATGCATAGCACGTTTTTCGAGATTTTGAATTGCTGAGATGATCCAAAATTTTATGATGATCATTTTGTCCAAAGCCTGTTTTCTCTGGAGACTTCGTTCTAGTGGGTGAACCACCAAAATAGGATGCATCTTGAAGTTCATTCTGCTCCTTTTTGTCATCACTGTAATAAGGTTCATAACGGTCAAACTCCAATCCATTTTCTAAACCATTTTCGTTTGATGGATCCAAAACCTGCTCTCCCCACCTATCATCCTCCATATGGTTCTTCCCGCTAGCTTCATGAGAATCATCAAAAACAGCACGATCTTTTTCCCCAGCACAACAATTCAAATTGTTGGAAGGGTAGCTTCTTGCTTCATCAACCAGGTCAGAAGAACCAGGCTTTCTACCTTCACTATCTATTTTCTTGAATTCCATATTGTGATTGTATTTACCATTTGATCCCACCCTATCTTTGACAGAGTACCTTTCTTGTGGTGCCTTGTATGATTTACCACCTCTATCAAATAGCTGCAAGGCTTGACGCTGCCTATTTGACCACGATAGGGTTATTGGCTCTCCACAAATTCTTTTGCCTCGAAGTGTTTTCAGAGCTTTTTCAGCACATGCAGGGTAATCATAAACTACAAACCCGTATTTGTCTTTTATCCGTACAGTACACCTACCAAACCTTCGGAAAACACGTTCCAATTCATCTTTACGAATGCGAGATGACAGATTACCAAGATGCAAAGACATCTGTAGCAAAAAACAAGAAAAAATTTAAAACCTGAAAATTACATCAAGTACTTAGAAACATAGGTGCATGCATGTATACGTGGTATTGAGGTGTTTTTGCATGAGGCAAAGGGTGAACCTCGGCTGCTTTGAAGTATAAAGCTCAACATAAACCAATAGAATTTCAAATAACTACAAAAATAGAAAATTACACATAATAAAAAATTAAAAATTTCAAAATATAATTATTAATACCGTTTAGAAAAGCTAAAAGACTAACATACTATTAGAAACATAAAATGGATTAATAAAGCAGCCAATAACAAATTAGTAGAGTAGTAATCACATTATAAGACCATTAATCTACAACTAGAGCTAAAAGTCCAAAAAAATAGATGCATCAGTTATTTGAGAACTTCATTTGCTTTGACTTAAAAGGAAAGAAATTCCAGAGGAAAGAAAACATCACAATAGAGACATCAATAATAAGAAAAAGTAGAATAAAGTGGGGTGACATTACATGTTGGAGGTCTCTAGCAATCAAAGAGTTGCAAGTTCTCTTCTTTAGTATTCTGTTGTAGGAGTACAAAGCTATGCTAAGCACATTCCCTTCACTCATTATTTTCTAATTTTCTCCAATATTCTATTCTTTTGTTTCTAATTTTTAGAGTTGAGGCGCATTTAAACAATCTGGAGGAACCCTCAAAACGTGTTGGGAAAACATGACTTAAAAAAAGGATTAAGGGGAGAAAACCTCAGCCACCTCTATGCGTGCCCCATGCACTTTAAAATTAAGGCGTAAGTCTTGACAAAAGGAACTCAAAGTGGAAGTTTTGAGGGTCCTAATGAACACCTTGTACAACACACATTCAAGGTGTCTGAACATTTTTGAAAACTTTGGTACTGACCAGAAACTATCTATCTAATATAAGGTGCGCAACACTTTACTATAATCTGAAAAGTCAAGTAATGCCACTCCAAATAATGCAACAGCTAATAAACTGCAGAGTACAAAGAAATGGGCGTTTCAGGTCCCACTTACAAGTTCTTAGTGCTAAAAGAAGTTGATTGTTTCCCTGCATCCACAAGAAAATCTAATAGTGTCAGCTGTTTCCTATCATCTTATTGAATAGAATCATGACGAAACATCCTTGGATATTAAAGGGATATTTATCCGACTCTTTGGTAATGAACACCACTCCCTGACATTTCATTTAAATCTTAAAAGTACAAGGAAAAATTCTTACACGGTAACAAGATATGTACTACTTGCATATCAATTTTCAATAGTGATATACTGATATTACTTCTTTCTTAAAAATGCATTATAAAATTGTCCTGGACTCCTCGTATAGTAAAAATTTAAGTAAAACACTTCCTCAGCATCCTAATATCACCTACAAATTTTATAAACATGGCATATTACTAATTGCCAGTATTTATTCCATTAAATAGACCAAGAAATTTGTCTGAATTTTTCCGGCTTCTAACAGGACAACTTTCGGATGGGCATAAACAGGAATGTGCGATTCAGGCTTTGGATATGAGAAACAAATGAATTCATGTTTGAATATAAAATTGCTACTAGTTTGAATTCACAACCCAAAATTCCTTTCTAATAATAATTAATGTTTCTCGCAAAACGTGCAGAGTTAAAACAATGAGATGGTAGAAACAGAAAGTAGGGCTAAAAATAATCAATTATGGTGACCACCGGTCACTGATTCTCAAGAGAAACAAATAAAACGTGATTTCTAAATCCAAAAATGAAAAACCGAAATAAAACATTAGTGAAACTTTATGCTCTTTTGTATTTCATTCAGCCAATTTTTTATTTTTTCACATTTGAACCTGAGAATCAATATAATCTAAGTTAGCTGTAAACACTTAGCAATTGCATAGCCAGTTTTTCGTCTCCCCTGTAATCTGTTTGCATTTTATTTGGTGACGAAGAAAAACATCTATCGAGTGCTACCGGTAAAGCCAAAGATGTAGGAGAGTTTGAGCTTGATGTCAACCTCGACATGAAGGGTTTAGATCCAGAATGGTATGATGTTGAAGACCACGAATGAGCGGACGGGGAATTTTTTCTGGATGATGCTGATTTGAACTTGGAATGGGAAACAGACCCAGAGAATGAGCTTATTGATCTTGAAGGTGACTGCAATCTGGATGCAGTACAATCAGAGTGGGTTGAAGACGACAACAGAACCCTTGCTTTCTTTGAACGGTGTCTATCTGGACTTTCACAATCTGTCTTATTTCGATTGTTCTCCCTGTACTTTTGTTTCCTATGTCTGGAAGTAAGCTGTGCTGAGGGAGAACCTCCACGTCTAAGCAATCTCCGATTATTTCTTGAAGTCGATGGCTCCCTATCGTTTTTCTGATGCCTCATTGGAGCAGCATCACTACTTTGACTCGGCAGTTGAGGCCTTGTTCTGGGTCTCTCCAGCTGTGAGGGGCACTTCCGCATTTCATGACCCACTTTACCACATGCATAGCATGTTTTTCGAGATTTTGAATTGCTGAGATGATCCAAAATTTTATGATGATCATTTTGTCCAAAGCCTGTTTTCTCTGGAGACTTCGTTCTAGTGGGTGAACCACAAAAATAGGATGCATCGTGAAGTTCATTCTGCTCCTTTTTGTCATCACTGTAATAAGGTTCATAACGGTCAAACTCCAATCCATTTTCTAAACCATTTTCGTTTGATGGATCCAAAACCTGCTCTCCCCACCTATCATCCCCCATATGGTTCTTCCCACTAGCTTCATGAGAATCATCAAAAACAGCACGATCTTTTTCCCCAGCACAACAATTCAAATTATTGGAAGGGTAGCTTCTTCCTCCATCAACCAGGTCAGAAGAACCAGGCTTTCTACCTTCACTATCTATTTTCTTGAATTCCATATTGTGATTGTATTTACCATTTGATCCCACCCTATCTTTGACAGAGTACCTTTCTTGTGGTGCCTTGTATGATTTACCACCTCTATCAAATAGCAGCAAGGCTCGACGCTGCCTATTTGACCACGATAGGGTTATTGGCTCTCCACAAATTCTTTTGCCTCGAAGTGTTTTCAGAGCTTTTTCAGCACATGCAGGGTAATCATAAACTACAAACCCGTATTTGTCTTTTATCCGTACAGTACACCTACCAAACCTTCGGAAAACACGTTCCAATTCATCTTTACGAATGCGAGATGACAGATTACCAAGATGCAAAGACATCTGTAGCAAAAAACAAGAAAAAATTTAAAACCTGAAAATTACATCAAGTACTTAGAAACATAGGTGCATACATGTATACGTACAAACATATGTGCATAAATTTGTACGAACAAGTGTTTAAAAAAGGATAAAATGGGTATTGAGGTGTTTTTGCATGAGGCAAAGGGTGAACCTCGGCTGCTTTGAAGTATAAAGCTCAACATAAACCAATAGAATTTCAAATAACAACAAAAATAGAAAATTACACATAATAAAAAATTAAAAAATTAAAAATATAATTATTAATACTGTTTAGAAAAGCTAAAAGACTAACATACTATTAGAAACATAAAATGGATTAATAAAGCAGCCAATAACAAATTAGTAGAGTAGTGATCACATTATAAGACCATTAATCTACAACTAGAGCTAAAAGTCCAAAAAAATAGATGCATCAGTTATTTTAGAACTTCGTTTGCTTTGACTTAAAAGGAAAGAAATTCCAGAGGAAAGAAAACATCACAATAGAGACATCAATAATAAGAAAAAGTAAAATAAAGTAGGGTGACATTACATGTTGGAGGTCTCTAGCAATCAAAGAGTTGCAAGTTCTCTTCTTTAGTATTCTGTTGTAGGAGTGCAAAGCTATGCTAAGCACATTCCCTTCACTCATTATTTTCTAATTTTCTCCAATATTCTATTCTTTTGTTTCTAATTTTTAGAGTTGAGGCGCATTTAAACAATCTGGAGGAACCCTCAAAACGTGTTGGGAAAACATGACTTAAAAAAAGGATTAAGGGGAGCACACCTCAGCCACCTCTATGCGTGCCCATGCACTTTAAAATTAAGGCGTAAGTCTTGACAAAAGGAACTCAAAGTGTGAGTTTTGAGGGTCCTAATGAACACCTTGTACAACACACATTCAAGGCGTCTGAACATTTTTGAAAACTTTGGTACTGACCAGAAACTATCTATCTAATATAAGGTGCGCAACACTTTACTATAATCTGAAAAGTCAAGTAATGCCACTCCAAATAATGCAACAGCTAATAAACCTCAGAGTACAAAGAAATGGGCGTTTCTGGTCCCACTCACAAGTTCTTAGTGCTAAAAGAAGTTGATTGTTACCCTGCATCCACAGGAAAATCTAATAGTGTCAGCTGTTTCCTATCATCTTGTTGAATAGAATCATGACGAAACATCCTTGGATATTAAAGGGATATTTATCCGACTCTTTGGTAATGAACACCACTCCCCGACATTTCATTTAAATCTTAAAAGTACAAGGAAAAATTCTTACACGGTAACAAGATATGTACTACTTGCATATCAATTTTCAATAGTGATATACTGATATTACTTCTTTCTTAAAAATGCATTATAAAATTGTCCTGGACTCCTCGTATAGTAAAAATTTAAGTAAAACACTTCCTCAGCATCCTAATATCACCTACAAATTTTATAAACATGGCATATTACTAATTGCCAGTATTTATTCCATTAAATAGACCAAGAAATTTGTCTGAATTTTTCCGGCTTCTAACAGGACAACTTTCGGATGGGCATAAACAGGAATGTGCGATTCAGGCTTTGGATATGAGAAACAAATGAATTCATGTTTGAATATAAAATTGCTACTAGTTTGAATTCACAACCCAAAATTCCTTTCTAATAATAATTAATGTTTCTCGCAAAACGTGCAGAGTTAAAACAATGAGATGGTAGAAACAGAAAGTAGGGCTAAAAATAATCAATTATGGTGACCACCGGTCACTGATTCTCAAGAGAAACAAATAAAACGTGATTTCTAAATCCAAAAATGAAAAACCGAAATAAAACATTAGTGAAACTTTATGCTCTTTTGTATTTCATTCAGCCAATTTTTTATTTTTTCACATTTGAACCTGAGAATCAATATAATCTAAGTTAGCTGTAAACACTTAGCAATTGCATAGACAAATAAACCTTCAAGACACTTCTTCGGAAGCTAAAAACCTATGTAGAGTAAAATCAGGAGACATCAATTTCGATCAGTTATTCCTGAAATTAATCAGGAAAACATATGAAATGGATAAATATAAATAACAATATTGATTTTTGTTTAAATCGAACAACAATTGAAAAGTTTTATACCTGAAAAATGGTTATGATTAACAATTATTTTTACTCCAAGTGAAATCTCTATTGCAGCCGCCGTATAACATTGACGCCGCGGAGAAAGAATAATTTCTTGTTTTTGGTCTTTGGCTTTTGCCGATTCATTTCTTTAGTTTGGGTAATTGTGTAGAAGTCCTTGAGAGAATTACAGTTGGAGTCTCCAATCTATTCAAATTGTGGAGTGTAGGTCCTCAACCTATTAATTTGAGGAACTTGACACCCTAATGGACAATTCTACCTCATATTATTTATTAAAACTCAAATTCTTATTAGAATGACGAATTTATCCTTAAATTTCATAGGACGGGAAAATAAATTAAAATGAAAAACAAAATTCACTAAGGGTTTGGGAGCAATCTTGGGAGGTTAGGTGAGTTTTGAATTTATTTATTTTTTTCCTTTTTTTAATTATTGTTTGTTTAATTTAACATAAAAGTAAATTTGTCTTTTTAATAGAAAAATTGAGTTAATCAAATGTTACAAAATTGAATAGTTAAGGACATGTATGTAAATTTTGCTTACTCTATTATTGATTTTGCCCCAGTTTTGTGGGGATTAAAATCAATTTTGATATAAGTATGAAATATATAGTTGAAAATTTGTGAATTTCATAAAAAAAAATGTGGTTAAAATTAATTATTATTTTTGACTTAGATTAAAATTTATATAAAAGGGACTTTAATTTTACGGGCCAACGGAAAATTTGCCACAAACTAATTTGGCTAAAATTTCACATGTTTCCTATTTCGTTCGTTTGGATGACACAAAAAATGATAAGTTTCTTACGAGCAGTAAAAGTAAAAGTTAAGAAAAATAATAATATTTATGTTGATTTATATTTATCCAAATCGTGGATCACAAAAACTTTGTTTGGCTCCTTCAAACAAACTATATAATAAGGGTAGTGCATGTTATTTTGTAATGGTAATGAGATATATTTTTATTTAAATATTTAAACAGTTATAATTAGAAACATATTTTTTCAATTAGTGTATTAGAGAAAAAAGGCCTCAAATATATATATATATATTTATTGAAGGTTTCGACCAATTGGCCATCATTTGATTTGAGCTATAGCGGATCAAAATCACAAAAATTGACAGTCAAGTATTATTGAGTATAGAACATGAGTATTACCACTTCACCTTCACACGAGTAAAAAGTTTGAATACTGACAAAACTTTGTCAACTGTTATGTTGTATTCACTGACCTATGTTATTACCCTAAATGCTCACTCAACTTACTAGAGTTCCATACATCACTATCGAGACAATCGTTTCACTCTTGTCTCAAGTGGCAAGATAGTTTTTAACATGGAGTAGACTGCGTTTTGTTGCCACTGCGTAAAGGGTCGTCGCTATGGAATGCACGTCAAATTTGGAAAACACCTTCAATTGAAAACGAGGCCTAATATTATGATTAGGTAAATTACAATTTAAATGATTGTTACGGCGATCTGCATCTATTGATAATAAAATCAAATTTTAATTAAAGCACGAATTAATATTATGATTATTAAGGAAAAATAAAAATATTGAATAAGGGGCATTGTTGACCAAAATTTAAAAAATGTAAGGGCAAAATGAAAATCAAATATTTCTCATATATTCAAACTATATAATTTATATAGTGTAATTATATTACCACAACAAATTTTACTTACTACATCACATTATAGTCACATCACAATTAAAACATATTTTCAATAAATTTATCATTATACTCTTATAATTCAATAAAAAAATAAAAAGGATATTTATATTTCCTCCACAATTATTATTTCTTACACCACCTTTTATGTACATGTTAACTAAGATATACTTCTCATAAACACACCAAAATAATTTTATATTTATAATCCTAACTCAATTTTTAAAAAAATGGTTTACATTTCCCTTCTCGTCGTCTATACTATGGATTGTTCTAATTACCAGTTTAATGCCTTGCTTTGCACTCAAAATCTCTATTTCCATTGATTGACCTATTCTTTGCCTTCTAAAATTGTTACAATAAGGGTATGCTTGATTATCAATATTTTTCCATAAAAAATGTCATTTTTTCTACCCAAATTTCTACTTTTGTTTTGTTTGATTGATAGATATTTTTTTTTATGAAATTTTTTCCTACTTTTGGTCACATGACCATATTCTTCATTTTTTCTTGAAAACAAGAAAAATATTTTCTTTAGGAGAGGGTAAGGAGGCGTTTGGTTTGTCGTTTTTCAGCCATTTTTTGTTTTTAGTTTTCGAAAATGTCCAAAACACGTTTGGTCACTTGTTTCCGAAAATACATTTATGAAAACAAGAATAAATTTATAACTGAAAACTCAAAACGATTTTTTTTTTCGTTTTTAGTATTTTCAGTTAAAAAACTCAAAACGCAGAAAACGCTGAAAATACGTCGTTTTCTGATTTATTTATTTAGGATACTCAGTAGTACTTTTAAGATTGTAAATTTACCAAATTTAAAATATATATTATCTGGTAATATATTAGTATAAAATTATTATGTTTTACTAAATAATTAAATTAATTGAATAAATATTGAAGTGGTGGCGGAACAACACCCTTCTATCCGCTTGGTGGTGTTCGGCGTTCCAACAACTCCGTCAAGTGTGTGTGACCTGAAAAATGAAGGTGGGGCTTCCTCCCTCATTTTACCTCCGGCGTGAGAATTAGTTTATAGACTTGGGAAAAAATGTGATTGGAATTCTGATGGCTAAAAGAGAGAGAGATCCCCTTACCTATATCACATCCGGGGGTATTTATAGATATTAGGAGCCGGATAACCGCTGGGTGGTTGTGACACGTTGGCATTTTCACTACCCCACGTTCTGAGTGGGGGGTCTTTAACTTCCCGCTTGGAGGTTACGCCCCTATTAACCGCCATGAAACCTATTCAATTTACTAGAAGTTTTATGGCTAAGTATTTGGATAATCGTATAGGCAATTTCATGCCAGTTGAAGACTTCGCGTAGAGGTAGAGCGACCTTGGGGGAGTCGACGGCCTCGCGTAGAGGTAGAGCGCCCTTTGAGGATAGTGATTATTAATACCGTTTAGAAAAGCTAAAAGACTAACATACTATTAGAAACATAAAATGGATTAATAAAGCAGCCAATAACAAATTAGTAGAGTAGTGATCACATTATAAGACCATTAATCTACAACTAGAGCTAAAAGTCCAAAAAAATAGATGCATCAGTTATTTTAGAACTTCGTTTGCTTTGACTTAAAAGGAAAGAAATTCCAGAGGAAAGAAAACATCACAATAGAGACATCAATAATAAGAAAAAGTAAAATAAAGTAGGGTGACATTACATGTTGGAGGTCTCTAGCAATCAAAGAGTTGCAAGTTCTCTTCTTTAGTATTCTGTTGTAGGAGTGCAAAGCTATGCTAAGCACATTCCCTTCACTCATTATTTTCTAATTTTCTCCAATATTCTATTCTTTTGTTTCTAATTTTTAGAGTTGAGGCGCATTTAAACAATCTGGAGGAACCCTCAAAACGTGTTGGGAAAACATGACTTAAAAAAAGGATTAAGGGGAGCACACCTCAGCCACCTCTATGCGTGCCCATGCACTTTAAAATTAAGGCGTAAGTCTTGACAAAAGGAACTCAAAGTGTGAGTTTTGAGGGTCCTAATGAACACCTTGTACAACACACATTCAAGGCGTCTGAACATTTTTGAAAACTTTGGTACTGACCAGAAACTATCTATCTAATATAAGGTGCGCAACACTTTACTATAATCTGAAAAGTCAAGTAATGCCACTCCAAATAATGCAACAGCTAATAAACCTCAGAGTACAAAGAAATGGGCGTTTCTGGTCCCACTCACAAGTTCTTAGTGCTAAAAGAAGTTGATTGTTACCCTGCATCCACAGGAAAATCTAATAGTGTCAGCTGTTTCCTATCATCTTGTTGAATAGA